TGTCAAAGCAAAACAGCATTCCCATTTTAAAAAATTAGGAAATAGATACTGAAAATATTTCAATACTATCAAGTCGATAGAGATTAATAGGAAAGTGATTTTTGTATCATTTATATACTAGTTTTGGTTAATATTTTGAATTTAATATTTTTTTGAAATATTTTCTGATTATCTACTGAGTTTTAGTCAATTTGTTTAGTCATTTTTATTATTTTTTTTATATGTCTACAGTTTTTATTCAATTTTATTTTTTAGTTGTAGTAGTGTATTTAGTTTGAATTAATTTAGTACTTCGACTTGAAGTAAACAAAAATGACAAATTTTGCTGAAATGTAAAAAAGTATTTTATTTATTTTTATTTTTTTATTTTTTTCAAATAATGATTTTTTTCCCTTTTAGTTTTTAATGTCAATAACCTTGATTAGCCGTTATGGGAACCAGTTATTCTGATTGATATTTGTTTGATATTATGAATCATGAATAAAATGAATCATAAATTAGAATGTATTATTAATAATTATCTGAATTATTAAAATACTATAATATGACTATAAAGGTCATATTATTACATACATAACTATTACTAATATTAATATTATATAAATGTGTCTTCTAAATGTGTGTTCTGTTGTCAAATAAACATTAGTTTCTTCTGTTTTGAAGTCTGCTGTCAAGCCCGCTGGCCGTTCCATTGTCGAGCCCGCTGGTCAATTCACTCCCAAGCCCTCCGCTGACAGCAGCTGTCTCCTTCACCTCTGCTCAAAGGAGGAGAATTCAGAGAAAAAGACTGTTGGCTCCAGCCCCTGAGTTCGCTCCAGTATCGTCTCCAGCCCCTGAGTTTGCTCCAGTGTTGGCTCCAGCCCATGAGTCTGCTCCAGTATCGGCTCCAGTCCCCAAGTGAAGCCCAGAGACGGCTCCTGTTCCCACGTCCAGCCCAGAGAGGGCCCCTGTTCCCAAGTCCAGCCCAGAGAGGGCTCCCGTTCCCAAGTCCAGCCATTTCTTAGGGGACTAACACGTTATGACACATTTAACTAATAACAATTTATTTATTACTTTATCTATGAATCATATAGAATGTTCATTAGTTGTTGATGTAGTAATCATTAATAAATGGTTTGTTTCTTCATGAGTTAAACATTAACTTGTGATTATCTGTGCATATAGTTAAGCATGGATTAATTCATATTTGTGCACCTGTATTGTAAAGTGTTACCATTTTATTTTGGCCCATTATGACTAATATAAATTGTGTGCAAATTTGTGTGTCCAAACTTCTCGAGCCTTTGTAGAGAATGAAATATTCTGAAGAAACATAAGCTTCATGAATTTCTGTTGCTCAGAGGGCTATAACAGATATGAAATCTGTAATACTAATGTTAGGAGCCACAGGATCTAATCTTTTTCCAATTGGTCAGTATAAATGATTGAATAACTTAACATATACTATATAAATGCATATTAACTTATGTTGTGCCTTTTCAGAAAAGCATGCATTTCTGTAAACTGTTGACAGGATACAATGCACACAAAAAGTATTTGGACAATTCATCCACTCATCTACGGTGGCCGAGAGAGCTCAATGTGCTGCAACTTCAGAAAACACATGCAAACAGAAAAAGCACCTAAATCAAGAAAACATCTTTATCAGTTTGACAGCAGGTGCTGCAAATTCTCACAATGCAAACGCACTGCAAATGTTTGTATGTATTCAGCACTTGGATGCTGCAAAAATACTGCAGTCCAACTGCAAAGGCCATAAAGGTCAAATAAAACTAAATGAATAGCATGTTACAGTACACTCAAATACTGTAAGTTATGCAATTGTAAAATCAGGGTCAATGAGAGAGTCATTCTGTCTCAGCATCATGTCTTTGTGCTTGAGTCCGGCCTGATGACTTTGTCCACATCACAAGTAATGTTGTCTTTTTTTGCTAGACAAATAGAAAAAAACCCTCTGGTCTGACAGAACCAGCCTTGATAACACTCTCTAAACCTAACTCTTTCTCTCCTCATCCTATTGCTCCACATCCTCCACTTCTTACATGTACTCTTCCTCATCTCCTTCTCAGACTGACTGCCAAATTTAATTTGTAACCATTTTTTATATGTACTGCATTTTTGCAGAACTGAGAAATGACTGCCTAGAGATATAGCTAGTCATGTGTCAGGAGACCAAGAAACTTTTACTGTACTGTATTGTGATGCATACCAAGTTCATACAATTCTTTGGTATTTGAACTTTTCATGCTTTTCATTTACTACAAGATTACTTTACAGTAGTAAAATGAAATCTATTTTTTTTCCCAAAAGTTCATTGCTGCATTGTACATTGAGCTGCAAAAAAAAGTTTTTTGTTACAGTGTTATTGATCTCAGTGTCCTCTGGGCAGGCAGTAGTAAAATGAAATCTATTTTTTTTCCCCAAAAGTTCATTGCTGCATTGTACATTGAGCTGCAAAAAAAAGTTTTTTGTTACAGTGTTATTGATCTCAGTGTCAGTGGCAGGAAAGTCATCTGTGTATTTGAATTGTGTGTAAGATTTACAGTTTTTTCAACTGCTTACACACAAAATCTTTACTTGTCACACAATTTCTGAAACCTGACACAAAACACCAGAACCACACACCAAATCTGCAAAACCATACACTAATTCTCAGCCTTTGACTCAGTTTTCAATTTCATAAAACACTTTTTGCAAAACACAACACACAATTCTTTATAACACACACAAATCTAACAATGAATTAATATTATGGCAAAGGTGTTTGCAAATGTTTGCTTTTGAGACGTGTTTGTGATATTTTGAATGCAGTGCTTCGTTTTGCAAGAGATGTGAGGCATTAGGTGGGGGGAGTGAATGGACAGCGCTCTCTCCCACCTTCACTACCACGACTGAGGTAGGTATTGAGCAAGGCACCGAACCCCCAACTGCTCCCCGGGTGCTGCTGCTCTGGGTGTGTTCACGGTGTGTGTGTGCACTTTGGATGGGATAAATGCAGAGCACTAATTCCGAGTATGGGTCACCGTACTTGGCCACATGTCATGTCACTTTTTTTTTCACTTTTTTTTTTTTAAACGTAAATGGTTTGGTCAGTTAGCTGTTCTAGATGTTTGCTAAAGTGTTGCTATAGTTGGTTGCTAGGATATTCTGGGTGGTTGCTAGGCTCTTGCTATGCAGTTGCTGCGGTGTTGTTAGAGTATATGGTTGATAGAGTTTGTTCTGCGTGATTACAGATATTCCCACCTCTGTTAATAACAGAAAATCAAACATTGTTTTCAAAACTGATCCAGTTTCAGTGTTTTGATATCATTGTATTTCTTCCTAATGTTAGGCAATTCAAAAGTTTCCGTTGCTCTTAAACTTGCACTAAAACGTGATTTATACCATCTAAGTAGCCTATGTAACTTTAATAGTACCGCATGTCTTCTTTAGTGATACAAGCTCAGAAACATTTATAACCTGTTTAAGTTTTTTATATTGTATATTGACTTGGTGCCATAATGGATATTGAAATGTTATTTATTTTTCATTTTAAACAGTATAGATGAAACTATGCATGGGGGCTTGCTTTGGTGTTGCCACCCCCCATAGACCCCATGCCACCCCTTTGCCACCCTAAAAATTATTTGCTAGATCCGCCCGAGCATTTGCAGCGCGTGTGTTGTCAAAGTTGTTTTCTTAATTTGCAGGTGCTTTTTTCTATTTGCAGCACGTTTCTTTATTGGGTTGTGTTGTGAGCATTTGCAGTGCGTGTGTTGTCAAATTGATTAAGTTGTTTTCTTAATTTGCAGGTGTTTTTTCTATTTGCAGCACGTTGAGCTCTCTCGGCCACCGTACTCATCATTAATGAACATATACTGTAAAACACAACTTCTGAGCTCTTCATGTATGATTTCATAACAATTTAGACTCATAAAAATGACAGAGACATTGAGTGCTTTTATACAAAACAGGGGTTTATCAGCATTTGCAGCGCGTGTGTTGTCAAAGTTGTTTTGTTAATTTGCAGGTGCTTTTTTCTATTTGCAGCACGTTTCTTTATTAGGTTGTGTTGTGAGCATTTGCAGTGCGTGTGTTGTCAAATTGATGAAGTTGTTTTCTTAATTTGCAGGTGTTTTTTGGCTATTTGCAGTGTGTTTCTTTATTTGGTTGTGTTGTGAGCATTTGCAGTGCGTGTGTTGTCAAATTGATGAAGTTGTTTTTAATTTGCAGGTGTTTTTTCTATTTGCAGCGCATTGAGCTCTCTCGGCCACTGTACAAATCTGATCCTAGATCAGAATTCCTGATGTAAGGTGCAACATGCATGTAGATAAATCACCTGCCTAGTGGTTGAGTCTGCTGCAGGTGTTTTTTCTATTTGCAGCACGTTGAGCTCTCTCGGCCACCGTACTCATCACTAATGAACATATACTGTAAAACACAACTTCTGAGCTCTTCATGTATGATTTCATAACAATTTAGACTCATAAAAATGACAGAGACATTGAGTGCTTTTATACAAAACAGGGGTTTATCATGTTATTTATAATGAGATAAACTGATATGTTTACTCTAGCAAAAAGAGAGAGGCGAGAGAGAGAGAGAGAGAGAGAGAGAGAGAGAAGTTAATTTATAGTTCAAGTACCCTTTATCAAGTTTTACAGATGTTAGTTTTAATATATTGTGCAAGTTTGGTTATATAAATCTAAGCTCTCTGTAGGTAAAGAGAGCTTAACATCTATAATCAAATAAAAGAAACATTTATAATACACTTATGCAAATTATACATTGAGTCTTAAATAAGTAAATCTTGGGTAATGCAAGTGGATAGACAATCAAGTATTAATTTAATTTAATACATTTTTGCTAAAAACTTCAGCTCTGTGGCACATTTTTTTAAATGTGAGTGTTTATTGTAAATGAGAAATTTTCATGTGCCCTTGAAATCCTTAATCAAAAACACTTGCAATTCCATTTGGTGACACATCAGTTCCACACTTCACCTTTAAGTAAAGTACATGTATAATACACTTATGCAAATTATACATTGAGTCTTAAATAAGTAAATCTTGGGTAATTCGTGAAGACAGTCATGAAACAACCTATAACTGTAATATTACATATAATTATTTATTTAAATACATTTAGAAAAGTGTTACTTAAAAAGCTAACAAAGTACAGTTATTTAAAGGTGATGTGTGCAATTTTGTGTAATTCAGTGGGCTTGCTTTCTTTTATCCCATGCAAGTGGATAGACAATCAAGTATTAATTTAATTTAATACATTTTTGCTAAAAACTTCAGCTCTGTGGCACATTTTTTTAAATGTGAGTGTTTATTGTAAATGAGAAATTTTCATGTGCCCTTGAAATCCTTAATCAAAAACACTTGCAATTCCATTTGGTGACACATCAGTTCCACACTTCACCTTTAAGTAAAGTAAAAACTTTCTGTCTTCCATAAAACGCTTTACATAGCGTCAGTGTTAAATGCTTTACCTTCATGAAAGCAAATGATAAATCATCCTCTTCCTGTTATTTCTGTTTGTATGTTTACAATACACAACATTGATTTAAAAAAGAAATAGTTTGGCTAAACAATTTGACCTCTGTAAAGCAGGTGGCACAAATGTCCTCCTCACATTGATTATTACATCTACAGAGATTCAAGGCTCGATTCCATCTCCAACATAAAGGCCACTAGGTGGACTCATCAGAGCCGCCAATATCCTTAAATAATGACAAAATAATGGAGAATTGTTATTTGTAAAATGAACTTTAGCACTTTATATTTAAAGACACATTAAAAATCATATTAAAATCAAATAAAATGTTGATTAATTCATAAAGTATGGCTTTTTAACATGTGTTCATACATACCATCAGCTCAAGAGATCTAAAGGCTGCTGCATATTTCTGATATGCGCCAATTATGCAATCTTTCCTGCAGACAAACAAACCAGACATTGAGAGAACATATCTGAATGTTAGTCACTTATATACATAGTGTCCACAGTATCACTTACTTGCATGAGATTCCTCCACTTGGTGGGAGGCCGGGAATATCTTCAGACGCCAGGAATTTCATCACATAGAGCAGGTCAGGTTCCTGGTCTCTAGATCTGATCACGTTAATGATCTCTGAGTAACATAAAAGGAAAAAAAATATACAAAATCTGACATTTATAGAGCTATTTTATCTAATATAGTGTTTAAATTGCATCTTATTTTATATCGAATGAATTGGTGAAATTACCTGCCACTTTTTGCTCAATGATGTGCTCTAACTCTGCCTCCTGTTGCAGTGCCTCTGGGGTCACCTTGGGGGCGCCGTCGAAGCAGATAATGATAATGCTGATGTTGTCTAAACTTCCCTGCGAGGTAAGAATTTAAAATCCTGCTCACAAAAATCAACTAAACAAATTCGAGTAGGTCAGTGTACTTAAATAATACTAGAAAATGCTAATACATAAATATATTGAGCTCATGAATTAAGATTAAGTATGCTCATAGGTAGCTAATGCCAGTTATAAACCAAAGGAGCTCTTGGCCTGGTCGAGTAGCTGGTTGTAACTCTGGATATCTCTTAACCTGCAGTCTGAATCTATCTTGTAATCTCCTCTCGCTCTCTCCTATTATATAGCAGTATCTACATAGAACGGGTCAAGGTGATTCTATTATCTTCCTCACCTCAACATGTGGCAGGGAAATATCATTATATAATATTACATAACCAAGATGCCTAATCATTTTACGTAACAAGGCATTCCTAAACTTGCTTAATATTTTAGAAGGTGACGGAGTTACTGGCAATTCAATATCGACTTTGCATCAGACTTGAGTTATTGTCTTGCCGGTCATGGGCTAATGACTAGCAATAAATGAAAGCATATTGATGCAATGATTCTCATACAGTGAGAAAAAAAATTGACACTCAGTTTTAGAAGCTATTTACTGTTTAGTGCCTGACTTTTTTTTTTAATCAGCATTACGTACATTTATTTTAAAGTTTATTCTTACCAAGAATTGCACACTTAGACAAGAAGAACCATTTAAAGCAATTAACCACAGATTGTTTGCTTTTAAGAGACATTTAGGGGTACACTCTTAAAAATAAAGGTGCTTCAAAAGGTTCTTCAAGCGATGCCATAGAAGAACCATTTTTGGTTCCACAAAGAACCATTCAGTCAAAGGTTCTTTAAAGAACCATCTCTTTCTTACCTTTTTGTAATCTGAAGAACCTTCTTTCGCCACAAAGAACCTTTTGTCAAACAGAAAGGTTCTTCAGATGTTAAAGGTTCTTTATGGAACCATTTAGACAAAAAAGTTCTTCTATGGCAAAAATAGTGGAAAATGTGTCTAGACTTTGTAATCTGTAGAAATAAGTACTAAATATTTAGCATCAAACGAAACAGAATAGACAATTTTTTGCCATTTTTATTAGTTTTTTTAATTCTGTTTAGTTTATTTGTATTCATAATTTTATTTAGCACATTTAATTCATTTCAATTCATTTTTATTTCAGTTGGTAATTTTTGTACTCCAGCTTATGTATTTCAGTAAGATTCCAAGGCAACAGTTTTTCAATTAATATTTATATTTTATATAATTTCAGCTATATTTCTATTAAAGAAAACAAAGTATAATAGTATCATAGTAATAACTATAATAGTTTTAGTTTTAAGTTTAGATGACTGTACTGAACATTTGTTTTATTTTTCAACTTTTTCATCTAATCTTTATATTTCATTTCATTTTTATTTCAGTTGGTAATTTTAGTACTCCAGCTTATGTAAGATTCCAAGGCAACAGTTTTTCAATTAATATTTATATTTTATATAATTTCAGCTATATTTATATTAAAGGGGTCATATGATGCTGCTAAAAAGAACATTATTTTGTGTATTTGGTGTAATGAAATGTGTTTATGCGGTTTAAGGTTAAAAAAACACATTATTTTCCACATAGTGTGCATTATTGTTTCTCCTCTATGCCCCGCCTTTCTGAAACGCGTCGATTTTTACAAAGCTCATCGGTCTGAAAAAGCGAGGTGTACTCTGATTGGCCAGCTATTCAGTGCATTATGATTGGCCAAAAAGCGTGTGACGGAAATGTTACGCCCCTACCATACTGTGATGATGCCCTGTCCGACCGGAGCGATGATTCAAAAACATGAAAACCCATTATAAACGAGGCATTTGTTGCATCCAGTGGGCACATAATTACGGATTATAATGACTTATACTGTCTTTTTACGCGTTGCGTTGCATCGCGCCGCGTAAACATAAAGCCATGTCTGCATTTGTGATCGGAGAAATGACAAACAA